GCGCCGGTTCCAGCCTGTACCCCGCACCCCGCCCTGCTAGGAAGTGGAGCGGAGGGTGCCGGGGCTCGTGGGCAGTGCGCGATACAGACAAGCGCGCCGGTTCCAGCCTGTACCCCGCACCCCGCCCTGCTAGGAAGTGGAGCGGAGGGTGCCGGGGCTCGTGGGCAGTGCGCGATACAGACAAGCGCGCCGGTTCCAGCCTGTACCCCGCACCCCGCCCTGCTAGGAAGTGGAGCGGAGGGTGCCGGGGCTCGTGGGCAGTGCGCGATACAGACAAGCGCGCCGGTTCCAGCCTGTACCCCGCACCCCGCCCTGCTAGGAAGTGGAGCGGAGGGTGCCGGGGCTCGTGGGCAGTGCGCGATACAGACAAGCGCGCCGGTTCCAGCCTGTACCCCGCACCCCGCCCTGCTAGGAAGTGGAGCGGAGGGTGCCGGGGCTCGTGGGCAGTGCGCGATACAGACAAGCGCGCCGGTTCCAGCCTGTACCCCGCACCCCGCCCTGCTAGGAAGTGGAGCGGAGGGTGCCGGGGCTCGTGGGCAGTGCGCGATACAGACAAGCGCGCCGGTTCCAGCCTGTACCCCGCACCCCGCCCTGCTAGGAAGTGGAGCGGAGGGTGCCGGGGCTCGTGGGCAGTGCGCGATACAGACAAGCGCGCCGGTTCCAGCCTGTACCCCGCACCCCGCCCTGCTAGGAAGTGGAGCGGAGGGTGCCGGGGCTCGTGGGCAGTGCGCGATACAGACAAGCGCGCCGGTTCCAGCCTGTACCCCGCACCCCGCCCTGCTAGGAAGTGGAGCGGAGGGTGCCGGGGCTCGTGGGCAGTGCGCGATACAGACAAGCGCGCCGGTTCCAGCCTGTACCCCGCACCCCGCCCTGCTAGGAAGTGGAGCGGAGGGTGCCGGGGCTCGTGGGCAGTGCGCGATACAGACAAGCGCGCCGGTTCCAGCCTGTACCCCGCACCCCGCCCTGCTAGGAAGTGGAGCGGAGGGTGCCGGGGCTCGTGGGCAGTGCGCGATACAGACAAGCGCGCCGGTTCCAGCCTGTACCCCGCACCCCGCCCTGCTAGGAAGTGGAGCGGAGGGTGCCGGGGCTCGTGGGCAGTGCGCGATACAGACAAGCGCGCCGGTTCCAGCCTGTACCCCGCACCCCGCCCTGCTAGGAAGTGGAGCGGAGGGTGCCGGGGCTCGTGGGCAGTGCGCGATACAGACAAGCGCGCCGGTTCCAGCCTGTACCCCGCACCCCGCCCTGCTAGGAAGTGGAGCGGAGGGTGCCGGGGCTCGTGGGCAGTGCGCGATACAGACAAGCGTGCCGGTTCCAGCCTGTACCCCGCAGCGAGTTGAGTTCCGAACATGACGCGCGTCCATGGCAAACCTGGGTCCAGAGGGCCCCCAACATTTAAAGGCAGCCCCCCCAATGGAACCTCCCTGCAGCCCCCAGGAGCCATGGCTGGGGCCAGAGGCCGGGGCCGGGGGCTGATCCAGGCTGGGGCAAGTGGCGCTGCAGCCGGGCCACAGTTAGGGCTGGGTGGAGCCTTGTGGGGGGGGCCTGGGCCCTGCCCCGCCCCAGCGGATGCTCCTCTCACATGCCAAGGGGGCTGTGGCTCCCCGCTTGGCCCAGGGATTAGGCAGTAACCTTGCCTCCAGGCAGTGGAGTTACCTGCTTGTTTGGGGGTGGAGCCTCTCTTCTCCCACTGGGGGCTGGCCCCAGCTGATCACGGAGCCCACCGCTGGCTGGGCACCAGCTCCACCGCACTGTGCGCCCATCCCCACGGCAGCGAGATGGGAAAGGGGCTGTTGCAGCCCTCCACCCCGCCCCGGGCAGGGTCCATCAGAGCTGGGTGGGGTGGGCTCTGGCTGGAGGGCCCCTCCCCCTCCAGGCAGCGTGTGGAGCACCCCCGGCTGGCCCCAGGCGAGGATGGGGTCAGAGGCCTGGTTTGCAAAAAGCCTCTGCCCAGCCGTGCGGGGAGGCAGGGAACGCGCCCTCCAACGGCCTTGAGCTGCTCAGGCTCGGTCACAGGGCGCTGCCCCGACGCCCTGCCCGGCAGCAGGGAGTATTTTTAGAAACATGCCCAGGCCAAAAATAAAGAGGTGGAAAGATTCCCAGTGGCTGTGTCCTCTGCCCCT